CTCTTCCCTTTGAGACAGGGTTTTGAAATATATCCATGACTAGCCTGGAACTTGTTACACAGACCAAGCTGGCCTCGAACTCGCTGCTATCCTCTTGGCCAGAGCCCAAGTGCTGAGATTTTAGGCATGCACCATCACACTGGGCTGAACGCCTTTCATTCTGGGTAAATTAGTTGTCTTGATGCAAAGCAAAGTCCCAAAACATGGCAACTTAAAACAAGCTTTTGACTCCTAGCTTCTTAAGGAATCTTGACCTGGGTGCAGCTCATCTGTGCACTTCTGAATCAGGGTCTCCTGAGATCATATTGGTTGAGCTGTCAGTATCTCAAGACTCTATTCACTGAATTTGAAGGATGCTACAAACATGTGTTTGTTGGCAGTCCTCAGTTTCTCTTTGGCTGTTAGCCAGAGTGTCCAGGTCTTAGCACATGACTTTCTCCCTTGCCTTCACAACTTGGCAGCGTAGTTTTTCAAGACTGAGTGGTCTGAGAAAAGGAACACACCAGAGGGCTAACCTGGGGAGTGGTATATCAGCACTACGTTTTGCTGTGTTGTTGATTGCATAGACCAGTCCTGGTACCTTGTGAGGAAGAACAACACGGGTCAGAATAGCAAGAGGTGGGGACCATTAGGGATCGTTTTGAACTCTAGCTACCACAGTGGGCCCATGACCATGTTTTTCTTTTAAGCATTTAGGTAGAAATTGTTTACAAATCATTTCTTTATTCAACCCTGTAAATGTTTGCTTTTCTTTTTCAGGTCCCGCACAGAGTCAAATGCAGGTTCCATCTGGGTATGGATTGCATCATCAAAACTATATGGCCCCCTCAGGGCATTACTCTCAAGGACCTGGAAAAATGACCTCGTTGCCATTGGATACCCAGTGTGATAATTACTACTCTGGTCCATATGCAGCACCAACACAAAATGTGGTGACTCCCAGCACAGCAAACCAACCAGGAGCACAGATGTATGGCAGAGGTCCTCCTGCCCCTCATATGATGGGGTCCACGCCAGGATCTCTCCATGGTGCTGCATCATCAGCATCTCATTTGCATACGAGTGCCTCCCAGCCGTATTCCTCTTTTGTGAATCACTACAATAGTCCATCAATGTACTCTGTCACATCTTCTGTTGCTTCTCAGGGATTTCCCTCTACCTGTGCTCATTACGCTATGTCAACTGTTTCTAATGCTGTGTATCCTAATGTTTCATATCCTTCTCTGCCTGCTGGTGACCCATATGGGCAAATGTTTACCTCACAGAATGCTCCAACAGTCAGGCCAGTTAAAGATTCATTTTCTGGCCAAAATACAGCTGTTAGCCATCCTTCACCACTTCCACCTCCACCTTCCCAGCAGCACCACCAGCATCAAAGTCTTTCAGGATACAATACTCTATCATGGTCAGCTCCAGGCCTTCCAACCCAAGACAGTCTCATCCGAAACCAAATGGGATCCCTGCCTATCGTGAACAACAACACAACAAATACTGGTAAGCTGAGTGCATCGAAACATGATGAAAGTCATAGCATTTCCAGTCAGGTTAAAGATGACATTTCCTGGTAGGAAAATTAAATTAACTCACTGTTGCAATGTATTGCTTAAATTTTTGTGGTATTTTTCTCTGTCCTCCTGAACTCTTCACTGACACCCATTCATAATTTAGCTACTCAGTCTTCTGCCTGAGGAACCTGGTTCCATGCCTTGATTGAGATTTCAGCCAGAGTTCATTGGTGTCTTAAACCTCTGCGATGGTTGTTGATGTAAATTTGATTGAGGCAAATGAAAGAGTCTATTTTGCTGATAGGCCTTGCTGGCTGCTACTTTCTTTTCTCACCCGCCCAACTTAGGCAGTTATTTTTCCTGCGATAGACCGTCTTTTATAGAAAAGTTGCTGGTCGGAAACATTACACTGGCTTCTTAAGCTGTGCTTCCTACACATAAAGCTGCTTTCTCGTTTTCAAATTAGTGAATGAAGGATGAAGAATTGGGGATGGAGAAGTAAGATACACGAAGAACTCCCTGGTATTTAGCCTTTCTTACAATGTGTAGTTAAATGTATAACTGAATGCAGACATAGGTAAAGAGTGGTGGTTGCTAAAGCTGTGGCAGTTTTTGGAATACTGTTTTTAGATTACATTGTCCACATACATATGCCAAAAATGATGTGGGAAGGTGTCCTTCCTGGGAAGCTAGAATATTTCAAGTTTTAAATCATACCTTTAATATCAGAACTGAACTGTACATTTGAATTACACAAATAACTGTGTGCTGATAGATAATGCCGATTGGTAAATTCATATTCAAAATGTGGAAAAAAGAGACCTTAAACACCATCTCTTTTGCCTTTTAATTTTGGAAAGCATGCTAATACATTGAATTCAGCATTAGGAATTTAAAAAGTCTACTCCAAATATGCCTGAGTGTTCTGTGGTTAGTTGTTAACTTATTTTGTGTATGTGTTATGCAATGCCTGTGGAAGCCAGAAGAGGACACCAAATCCTGTGAAATTGGACTTGTGGAGGGTTGTTATCTGCCATGTAGATGCTGGGAACCAAGGCCCTCTGCAGGAGCAGCCATTGATGCCAGTGGCCTTAACTGCTGAGCCATCTCTCCAGCTCCCAGAGGCCTTTTTTTTTGGGGGGGTCTTTTTGAGACAGGGTCTCCCTGTACACCCTGCAGACCTAGAACTCACCATATAGACCAGGCTGACCTTGATCTCACTTGATCTCACAGAGATCGCTTGTCTCTGCCTCATGCACCACCAAGCCCAGCACCCAGAACTTTTTTTTAAAGTTTAAGGTAAAGTTGTTTGAATGTGTGACTTTCAGATCTGAAGATAATCATTTTTGACAGACAAATACCAAAACTGTACATTCCTTTAAAGTTTTGGTATCTCTGTTTTAAAAAACAAATGCTTTCAAAAAATTATCAAGACATCAGACTGAGAATTTCTCAGTAAAATTCTTACAGTACTAGCGTGAGAACCTGAGTTTGATTCCCCAGAAGCCAGGTTTAAAAAAAAGCCAAGCTGATGGTCCACACTTGTAGTTTCACACTTGTAACTCTCTTGCTGGGTTGTGGAGACAGTGGGTCCATGGGGCTCACTGACGAGCCAGCCCAGTCTGCTCTGCAAGCTCCAGGACAATGAAGGACTCTGTCTTCAAAATCAAAGTGGACAGTACCCAAGGAACACTACCCGAGGTTGGCCTCCGCACCCCCCGCCACATACACACACACACTCAGACATATACCTACGTGAATATACACTCACACATATACACATTAAAAAATTAGCAAAGTATTTTTTACCAAAAATTATTCTGATTAAAGTAAATTATTTTGACTATTTCTTGAATCATGGTATTGATAGAATATTATAAAAACAGTAGTAGTGGATGACAGATTTGTTGATATGTTCGAAAAAGAAAATAGACTAAAAGGTGACATTTTTGGCTTGAACAAGGTGGATGAGAGGTAGAATTTATCTCCTAGTTCCAAAGAGAATCCTATGCATTAATTACTTAAGACAGGCTTTACTTTTATAATATTCTTTTAAGCCCATAAGCTAAACAGAAGTTCAGTAATTTCTTTTGTATAGTGACAGTTTTCTATGTTGTTGTAATTCTGTCAAGCTCTTTCTGTGAAAAGCAAATTCTTTTTTGGTTGGCGCACTGCTCTGGTCCTTAGTGTTGGTAGGTCTCTCACCACCCACTAAGTATAGAAAGCCAACTCCATGTGCCAGGGATTGTTCTAGTGTGGGGTGGTGTTCTAGTTTGACTTTGACTGCTGTGACAAATCACTCTGACCAATACCAACTTGGGGAGGAAAGAACTTATTTAGTTTACATCTCTTGAGTCACAGTTCATCAAGGAGCCCAAGGTAGGAACTCAGGGCAGGAACCTGGAGGCAGGAGCTAAAGTACAGGCCATGGAGGAATGCTGCTTACTGGCTTGCTCCCCTGGCCTGTACTCAGCCTACTTTCTTATATGATACAGAACAACCTGCCCAGGGATGGCACCAACCCATAGTGGGCTGGGCTCTCCCACATCACTCAAAAATCAAGAAAATACCCCACAGACAGGACCATAGGCCAGTCCAATGGAGGCAATTCTTCAGTTGAGGCTTCCTCAACCCAGGTGTGTCAGGTGATACTAAAGCTCTCCAGCACAGGAGATAAAATAGTGAGTAAAAATACAGGATTTCAGTGTTAGCTTGGGGCCCATCAAACCTGAAAAGCGAGTTAGTTTAGTTCTAGAAACCAAATCACTGTAGTTTCAGGAATTGTTAACAGTCAAATAAAATGGAGGAACTTTACAAGTGTTGTGACCCTGGCTAACAAAACATACTTAAGATACGTTAATCTCTTTATGATGCTCATATAAATTTTAAATAAAAACACAAAAATATGCCATACCACAAAGCAATTAATAATAAAAAAAAGACATGATTCTTAGAGTTTTCAGTTTACTTGGGAAAGTAAACATAAAGATGAATGTAAAATTTATTGTTTTTTGTTTTGATACAGGGTCTCACTATGTAGCCCTCACTGTCCTGGAATTCTATATGTAGACCAGGCCGGCCTTAAATTCACAGAGATCCACCTGCCTCTGCCTCTGCTCTCAAGTACTATAAATAAAGGCATGTGCCACCGGCACCTGGCTTAAAATTGTTATTTAAATGTCACAACGTGGAGATTTATGGCCCTTAGAGAGCTCATGTTAGATGTATTTGGTTTGTTAGTCATGAAGTGTAGGGAAGATTTTCTCTGAAGTACTATTTTAGCTGTAATCTGAAGAATGAGTTCTCTATGTGTGAAGTAAATTGTGAGTGAAATAAACATTTAAATGCAAAAACCCCCAAATTCTAAAGTCCTTCAGAGGAAATACAGACTAGTTCCAGAGCCTTGGACTAGTCAGATTTCATAAAGACAACACACAATCCCCATGAGGGATAAGAACAAAAAACTAATTTCTAAAAAAAAAAAAAAAAAACCTTTTAATCATTGAAAGACAGTGTAAAATGAAAAGACAAACTGGCAAGTGGGAGTAAAAGAAATTGTAGTATTTTTCTAGGCTATATAAACACACATAGAAATTAATATATAAAAGACCACAAGCAAGAGGAAAATGCAATAGTGATTTGAGGTACTGGGGACTAATTTTTCTCTTGGCCAAAGGCCTCATTCTCACACTTCTACTCACACAAGCTGTGGTACACACAGTAAGAAATTCTGCCCTAGGGAAACTTGCACATCTGTACCTCAGACATGCTTACGAAGATGACAAGGCTTTCAGTCTGCCACAATGGCAGTGTTCTTACTAAAAGTGATGAAGCAATTCTGCCGCTCTGACTGCCTTCCATCTCCTCTCCCTGACCTGTCTCATTTCATTTGTATTTTTATTAGCATGTGCAGTTACACACACTGATACTGATACTGATATGCTCAGCAAAATAAAAATTGTATAATATAAATGCATAATATTCAGCTAAAATTAGCAGTGATCAGTATATATTACTTGATTTATTACATCTGTTTGCCTTTACAAAAAAACCCAGCAGTCTTTTATTTAGTAATTTCAACCATTACATGAGATACAGGATAAAAGAGAATGGGGGAATCTCAAAGGATGGGAGAAAGACCATGCGCTCAAGACAGGGATACAGGAAAGGGAATATATCAGCAGTGGCTTAGAGACTTTTAATCCCTGCCCCCCATTTTTACATTGTTAGGTAAGGAGGGATTTAGTCAATGCTGAAATCTGAATTGTTCCCCCTCCACATTCTTGTGTTTCAACCCAAATGTCCCGTTCTAATGAAGTCCCAGTGCCCAGAATGGAACTGCTTTGGAGATAGGGTCTTTAAAGAGGCAATTAAAGTATTAGGGTGAGTCTACATCTGGTATGACATTCTTTTTTTTTTTTTTTTTTTTTTGAGACAAGGTCTCCCTGTAGTCCCAGCTGTTCTGGAACTCTCTATGTAGACCAGGCTGGTCTTGAACTCACAGAGATCTCGTGCCTCTGCCTCCCGAGTGCTGGAATTAAAGGTGTTGGCCACCACTCTGGCCTGACTGGCATTCTTATACGGAGACCATACGAAGTCACTGGGAAATTACAAATACCTCATGGAGAAACACCGATGGCACCTTGATCTTGGTGTCATCCTCCTCCACTGTGAGAAAATAGATGTGATGTTTTAGCAAAAACATAGAGAAAGCAAAATGAGATGTGTGCTCATTTATATACTTCAGAGACCACACTGTCTACTCAAGTAGCCTGTTCATCTTACCTTGGTCACCATTATATAGTACAATAACTAATAGTGGTCATGAGTTCCTAAAGAAATACTGCAGCTTATTTTGTCTGAGAAGGTAATGAAATCTTTTAGGTGTTTCAGTGAAAGTTGTCATTAAAAATATTACACCATTGTTTTAGTTTTTTATTAAATCACTGAAATAGTTTTTCCCCCTTGGGGGGAATTATTTCTTTGGACTACCTTCTTTCTAGATAGACCAGATCAATGTGATGACACTGAAGTTTCTAGAAAACGTCAATTGTATTTTGTTAGTAAACTTATTTTAATGTCTTGAGTTTGTTGTAGATGAAATGGTTTCTTGTCTTCAGTTGCAGACTCTCTGTCTTGTCCTGTTATGCAAAATGTCCAACCCCCCAAGTCCAGCTCAGTGACATCCACTGTTTTGTCAGGAGCCTCAACAAGAATGCCTCCTGCCACAAAGCACGCAGCTGAACCTGTGGTTTCAGCTTCACAGCCCTTAGAGCGGATACAACACCAAGGTATGTGAGAGGCTGGTGGTGGTTTTATACTTAGGCACATATCTCAGTAGCTGGTTTGAAAAAATTAAACTATATAACCATAATTAACTGAAAACATGAAAAAAAGTAATTTATAATCTCAATTCAAGCTTGACAGTTTACTTTTATGTTAACTTACAATTTCTATTTTTAATTAGATACTTACTAATCCTGTCTTCTATCACAAGATGTTAAGTTGCCAGCCTTTTGAATATTATTACAGAAATTTCTTAAGAATAAAGTGACCAAGTGAATTCTTTGTCTTGTTTGGTTTCTGTGCTTATCATTATTGTTAGTAATGATGCAGTTTGGGGAATGAGAATGGTCATAATGAAGCTCATACTCATACTTGCATCATTGACAGTTAATATTCTTAAATAAGTAGCAAGTGGCAAAATATGTTGTTTTGCTCTTGTTTCTGCACATTGTCCTTTCTTTCAGAAGTTTCCTTGGTTACTTTCTACACGGCCAAAGTACTTATGTTTCAGATTAATAAACTGTATTGTTCATCTGATCAAAGTTTGTATTTCCAGAGCAACTGTTATAATATTTTAAGGACTGTGCTCACTATGTATGACAACTCCTAACCTTGAATATGAAGATCTCTTCTAGTACATTTGGAATCTCAGAAAAGGAGAAAGCATCGTATATACATTCTTAGGATGACGGCTTACCTCTGCCCAGTGTTTATATGATTAACAGCAGCCTTTCTGTCAATTGATAAGATTGCACACTGAAACACCAAAAGTATTCACCACTTCCCAAAAGCCCATGGAGGTAGGGGCAGTAGAATCAGTCCACATAAGCATTTGCTTTCAAGGTGAATGATGGGTGGGAATGTTTTCTCAAGAGAAGAGAAAACTGGACGCTGTCTTCCGTTTCTTCCATGTCTTGCGTCTCTGAACCCGTCTTCCCTCTGCTCATTTTTTTCCTCCTGCCACATTTTCTTGTTAATCATATTTAGATATCGAACCCTTGCACTGGCAGTAGTGTCATTTTACACAGCAGTTTGCTACTGAGCAAATACAGTGTTTCTTCCCTTTTTAAAACTGGTAGATTTTTAGAAAAAGGGGGTACCACTTATTGAGCACTTAGGATACTCAGAATTCTTTGTTTTATTGTCTCATTAATCCCTGTATTAAACACATGGCACAGATATTATCCCTAATTTGCACATGGAAAAAGTTAGATACATAGAGTTGAAATAATTTTCTCAACACTACAGGTTAAATAGGTAGCAGAGCAAAAGCATTCTGATTCAGACTTTTTTATCTTATATTCTTTCTGTAAAATAGAGCTGGTTTTTGTTGCTGTGAGCTGTGCACAAACTTGTGATTTACCTCAGCTACTTGCTTGAGTGACAAAGTACAATACTGGAGATAAGTGAATTTGTAGCCTTTTTTGTCCCTTTTTAAGTAGTAGACTTCTTTTTGCCTTTGGACAGATTAAGAGTCTACAACCTAACTGTTTATGTGAGTCAAGGCTACTGCGAATGCTTGTGCACATTGTGGTCGGCATTAATGAAGTTCCTGGGCGTTGGGCTGTGTACCATCTGTATAGGGTGTGCTGTGGGTCTCCTTTGATGACTGCAGCCATCCAGTTCCTTAAGTTGTGTGTCTGTAGATTTAATCAAACATGGATTGAAAATATCTAGAAAGCACTGAACATGTACGATACAGCAGAACAGGCATTTACACAGTACTTCCTTTGCATTAGATGCTGTATGTAATCTAGAGAGGATTTAAAGTATGTAGGCGCATCTGCACACCATACCATTTTGTATAAAGGACCCAGGTGTACAGGGGTTCTCCAGTCTGTGGGACCCAGGTATGGTGGCTCAGGCCTTTAATCCCAGCAGGGGCAGCAGATCTCTGAGTTCCAGGTCATTCTGGTCTGCATAGCAAGTTCTAGGCTAGCCAGGGCTACATAGTGAGACTTTGATTCTCTGGCAAGCACCAGCAACTGTACTTAAACAGATTAGCATTTGTACCTTCCAGCTGCCAAGGTGTCCTTGCTTAGCTGTTCTCCTAAAGGTGAGCATTCCTTACTGGTTTTAGAAGCAAAACTTCAGTGTTTTCTTTAACTATTCCCTAAAAAACAGCTGAGAAACTATATAACAGCTGGAACACTTCAGATGGAAAGCTAAAACTTTTTTGGTAAAAATTTTAAGAGTTGTGGGCCAAGTGTGGTGGCACACGTCTTTAGACTCAGCACTTGGGAGGCAGAGGCAGGTGGAGCTCTGAGTTCAAGGCCAGGTCTACATAGTGAGTATTGCTTTTTTTTTTTTTTTGGTCTTTTTGAGATAGGGTCTCCCTGTAGCCACAGCTGGCCTGGATTCACTAATGGAGACCAGGCTGGCCTTGAACTCACAGAGATCCGCCTGGCTCTGCCTTCAGAGTGCTGGGATTAAAGGCAAGGCATGCACCACCACGCCCAGCTATAATATGCTTTTTTCAACAAAGATAGATTACATTATTCTTTTATATGTGTCCACTGAAATGATAACCTGTGTTTATTCATTTTTAAAATACCCAAATAAACCCTTTAACATTTAGAAAGTTTACTTTTTTTTCTCCTGGAGGCATAGTCCTTCCTTGAACATATCAGTGTAGTACATATACTCACAAATATTAACGAAAAGAAATTTAAAATATTATTATCTTGACCATAAATTTCCAATATTCTCATTTTTTCTTTTTTTTTGTTTTTTTTAACAAAAAATTTATTGAGAATTTCATACATGCATGTAAGGTATTTTGATCAAATCCAAATGGGGGAGCCCTCCAAAACATTTTTTCTTTTGAGTTAAATTATTATTAATAATTATTCAGAACTGTAATGAATTTTAGTGTTGAGTATAAAGTACATTTTTATTGGAAATACATCTTTGAGAGGTGAATGGCCTCTCCTACTACATGCATAGAATTGATGACAAAGTTTGTTTACAGGGAATGGATGAGAATGGTATTGGGATTTTTCTACTAAAGTGATATTATTGGCTGGCCTGGAACTCGCTATGTAGGTCAGGCTGACCTTGAATTCACAGAGATCCACCTATCTTTGCCTCCCAAGTGCTGGAACTAAATGTGTGTACCACCACACCCAGCCTTGATATTATCTTTTTTAGAAATTCTAAGTCACAGGGCTGGAGAGGTGGCTTAGCAGTTAGGAGCACTGACTGCTCTTGCAGAGGACCCAAGTTTTGTTCCCAGCACCCTCATGGCAGCTAACAACTGTCCATAACTCCAGTTCCAGGGGATCTGATGTCCTCTTCTGGCCTCCACCAGCACCAGGCATGCACATGGTGCACCTATGTACATGCAGGCAAAGCACTCCTACACATAAATAAAATACAGTCCTAAGTCACTTGTCAGAAACTGTCATGTGGTAGATGGTTGAACTATCACTATGTTCATGGAGCAGGCTACTCAAGTACTCTTTAGCTTTTGTTATCTCACTTGCTTGTCACATGAAACAGGCACCTCATGTCTCATCTTCTTTTCATAAATTAGGAAACTGTAATTTAGAGAGTTAGATATGTCTGACCTAAAGACATACAATACAGACTTGCTCTAAGATGGACCATTGATCTCCTGTATCCGAATCCAGTGCTCCTTTCACTGCATCAGCAGTTCAGAATAGTGTGGATATTCTTCCAGTGTTTTTTGTTTTTTGTTTTTTGTCTTTTTTGAGACAGGGTCTCCCTGTAGCCCCAGCTGTCCTGGAACTCACTATGTAGACCAGGCCGGCCTTGAACTCACAGAGATCTGCCTGCCTCTGCCTCCCGAGTGCTGGGATTAAAGGTGTGCACCACCACGCCCAGCCCCAGTGTATTTTTAAGAATCTGATGGGGCCTGGTCATATGGTCCAGTGGGTAAAGATACTTGCTGCTAAGCCTGATAACGTGTTTGATCACTGGTCCCACATGGTGGAAGGAACTAGCTCCTGCACGTTGTTCTCTGACCACCAAGTGTGCTCTCACCAACATGCAAGCACGTTCAGCATGTAGTAAATAATCAAATAAATGTAATTTTTAAAATATCAAACTGTGGGCTGGAGAGATGGCTCAGTAGTTAAGAGCAGTGGTTACTCTTACAGAGGACTCAGGTTCAGTTCCCAGTGCCCACATGATGGCTAACAACCATCTGTAACTCCAGTTCCAGGGGAATCTGATGCCCTCTTCTGACCTCCAAGGGCATTGTATGACACAGGTACACTTACATACATGCAGGCAATATACTCATAAACAAAATAAAAATAATTCAATAATATTAAAAATAAAATGTAAAAAAAATCAATGATATATTTTATGGATACTATCTCTGTATAACCTTAATTGGTAAAAATCAATCTCAAATCATACTGCAAATGCTATAAATTTACTTCTAAGTTTTTTTGCTTTTTGTGAGAAGAGTATCAAAAGAATTAAAAATTTATAAACCATAATACAGTTTATTGTACATCTGTCATTAACTGAGAGAAATTATGCAAGGTTTCGTGTGTGTGTGTGTGTGTGTGTGTGTGTGTGTGTGTGTGTGTGTGTTTGCTAGAGATCAAACCCAGGGCCCTGGGAATGCCAAGCAAGGACTTTACCATTTCCTATATGCTCCCAAGCCAGGTAGGATTTGTTTTTGCATGTGTGTGTGTGTGGTGGCATATATGTATGCTGCTCATTTCTGGGGGGGCGCACACGTGTGTACACACAAGTGTGGAGGCCAGAAGTTAACATCAGCTGTCTTCCTCAGTCACTCTCCACTTTGTTTACTGAGGCAGGGCCTTGGTAAACCTGGGGTTCGTCAGTTCTCACCAGTCTAGCTAGCCAGCATGCCCCAGGATCCCATCTCTGCCTCCCTGAGTGCCGGGATTGCTAAGTGCTTGTCCGTCTTCTTACGTGGGTTCTGGGGATCTGAACTCTGTCCCTCATGCGTGCACAGCAAGCAGTCTAGCATCTCTTCAACCCCCATTTAGGATTTTTAGTTCATGAATTTTTATTTATTTTTATTTTATGTGTATGAGTGCATTGCCTGCATGTATGTAAGTGCACCCATGTCGTGCACTGCCCTTGGAGGTCAGAAGAGGGTGTCAGATCCCCTGGAACTGGAGTTAGGATGGTTGTTAGCCACCATGTGGGTGCTGGGAACTGAACCTGGGTCCTCTGCAAGAGCCGCCAGTGCTCTTAACCACTGAACCATCTCTCCAGCCCCTTAATCCATGAATTTTATCCAGTGTATTGTGGAAAACAACAACAACAACAAAAAAAAAAACCTCTCAGCCCTAGAAAATACTCAGTTTGTTTTTTTAAAAAGAACTGGTATTACTAAACCTGATGTGGTGGTGCCATCTTCTAATCCCAGTGCTCCAGAGGGTACAGAGCGTGTGAACTACATAGCCAGACACTGCCTTATCTGAAGGAGGCAAGAAAGCGGGAGAGGAAGGGAAGGGGATGGGGGCAGAAGGGTGAAAGAAAAGGCAAGCAACAGGGAAGAGGCAGGAAGACCAGAAGGTCAGGATGCCACAACCACCCAACACGCTTGAAGCTGGCTGGGGCTACATGATCCCCTGCCTGGAAAAATGAAGAAAAGAACACTGGTCAGATTGATGGAAATCTGGGTGTTTGTTTTGTTTGGTTGGTTGTTGGTTTTTCTAATGCTTTCTCTAACGGTGAGTGTTAAGAGTAACTAGATAATCATTTTAAATACACAAAAAATGTTTAGGTTCAGTAATATAGTATTTCATATATTTATCAGGTACCATAGATCTAAGTACTTGACATACATGACTTATTTAACCCTTTCAACAACCATTTGAAGTAGTAATGACTTCATCTTACAGATGAAGTGAAAAATAGAGAGGTTAGTACTTCTGAAGGACCACAGCTAGTACGTGGCTAAGCCTTATTTGAGCTCCCTGCCCCTCCAGCCCCGGTTTTTATGTTGTCTCCCTGCTGTGCTGTATTTCTTACTGTCTTTTGCTTTGTTCTCATAGGACCCTTTGAGAATGGAGAGTTTTTTGACTGTAGTGATTGTGGTCTGAATAAAAGTGGAATTAGTCTACTTACCCTTATTCCTACCACGGCACACTTTATGTTTCTGAATGAAGCCTAAGCAGTGAGAGCCAGTCCTCGTTCTAGCTTGCTTCCCCTGTAACTGAGGCATCTCTCTAAAATCACTTAAGAAAGGAATCATGAAGAAGCTTTCTTTTTAGCTGTAGAGAGACTTTTCTATACTTCAGGGCAGTATTTCCTAGTAAGATTTAGGTAAGTAAAGGTTCCTCTGCCCTTTATGAAGTGTGAAATGTGCCACTGTTAGTATATGCACTTTTTAGGTGGACAAGTTTACCAAAGAGTATTTAGGAAATTCGTATCTGAAGATTGATTCCTATAAAGCTGTTATTTTGTGAGAACTCTTGAAAAGCCTTCTAATGTGTCTACTGTTTGAAGACTAGCTTAGAAAGATAAAAGTTGCTCAAAAGTTTAACTCATTGAATTAAAAAAAAAAAGCAAAACAAAACAAAATTTAACCTTTTCCGTGGGATTTTTCTCTTCAGACCAGTTTGATTTCTTTCTGGCATAGCTGTATCTAGGGAACAGTGAAGACTCCTTTTATCAAGCCACCCCAAGAATGTGCTTTCCTGGAGAAGGCCTGCAATAATAAGGAATGGAATTAGAATATGCTTTTTGGTCTCACTTTACCCTCACGACCTTTAAACCCAGAGCTTTGTGCAGCTGGGGCAAGTGCTCCATGACCAATCCATACCCCAGGCCCTTGGGAGTGTGGAGAGTGATGGCTTCTATGTTTTCTTGTTTTTCTTCTTTTGGGGAGGGGTGTGAAACTTGACTCTCAAGCCCATGGCTTTAATTTCCCTGTATTGCAAAAGAAATAAGGGAACAGAAATTGGTAAACTATGATTTATTTGCAGTTTGGAAAAACTGGAAAGAGTTCAAGCTTTGAGTTTCTCTTCAGCTTTCCTATAGCAGCTTTCCTAGTTCATCTTTTTTGAAAAATATTTTTATTTATTTTTTTTGTTTTTATGTGTATGCATGTATTGCCTGCATGTACGTAAGTGCACCCATGTCTTGCAGTGCCCATGGAGAACAGAAGAGACTGTTGGAGCCCCTGGAACTGGAATTAGGGACAGTTGTTAGCCGCTATGTGGGTGTTGGGATTCGAACCTGGGTCTTCTGCAAGAACAGCCAATGTTCTTAACCACTGAGCCATGTCTGCAGCCCCATATCTCACATTTTATAGGGAAGATGAAGCAAAAGCTGGAAAAAACTTAGGAAATAAGCACACATCGATCACAGGCAGAGGCAGGCGGATCTCTGTGAGTTCAAGGTCAGCCTGGTCTACATAGCAAGTTCTAGGCCAGCAGGGGCTACAGGGAGACCCTGTCTCAAAAAGACAAAAAAAAAGTCATGGTTGGAGAAGGGTGTGTGACATTTTGTTAACAGTACATGGACAATCACAGTAAAAAATCTACAGTAAATAACGCTCTTTTATTCATGAGCTTGTTTTGGTGTGTTAAATAATTGCTGTGGGAATTTTTATTACTGTATGGTTCATCTTGTTTTCTCTCAGGCACTGGATGGTTTTCTAATAATTGAAATACGTGTATTAGTAAATCTGGAGGAGAGGGAAATACGTATTGTGTAATATGTATCTAAACTTGCTGAGTATTTTGGCTCCTTTGATTATTGTCAATAATGATCACATCCATTCAGCCCTGAAGAGTGGATTCTCTTCTGATTTTTGTCTTTATTAGCCTCTCTTCAAAGCAACAAACAGAATCTCCTCTCTCTCTTCTGCCATCTTCACGTGCATGTGTGTGGGCCTTTTGAAGTACACGGCTAATAGCATGTGGAAGACGTGTGTCATTTTAAAATAAGTCCTTAAATTGAAGAATTTCTTTTGGAACAACTTTCTACTGTTGGTTTGTTTGATCATAAACTTCTTTGTATATTTAACTTAATGTTTAATGCTAGTGAAATTTTCGTTTTAACTAGGCTGTTAGTGGATCATGCCAGTTTGAATCTGGAAGGTATCAATTTGTTTCTTGTAATGCCTGAATCTATTTTACTTTCTTAGATATATTCACGCTAACACTATTTTATCTATATTAAAAAACGTTTGAGTCAGCAAGGTGTGATAACTCACACCTATAATCTCAGAACATAAGGAGCTAAGACAAGAGGAGAGTCATGAGTTCAAGGCCAGCCTGGGCTATAGAATGAGACCAACAGGAAAAAGAAAACGAAAACATCAGCAAAGCTAACAGAGTTTCTGTCGCTTTCAGGCTTAGTGATGAGCTAAGCTTCACTCATCTAACTTTGCTTTTGTCTAAATTTAAGCTTACTTAGTAGCATGTGAGGTGGAGTATGTGATCTGACAAGGCCTTGGTATTCTTCCAGTGTTGTGGTGTGTTCTTAGAAATCCCAGCTTGGTCTCTGAGGTCTTTGTTTACGAAATATGGCTGTAAGATTTTCCTTATACTCATATTTACTCTTACTTAATAAAGTGTTTTCATTTTCAAGTAAGATTAATCTTTTTTTCCTTCTTTAAAATTTTGCGGATGTTAATTTTTTACATTTTGACTTTACCAGATTAAATATTAAAAATATTCAATCACCTTTTTCAGGGAAATCTTGTATAGTTCCCAGTCAGTACCAGATGTATGTGTTTTCCACAGGATCTGCCTTCTGTCAGTGTACTTCAAAAGAGGGTCAGTCTTATTTCACACTCAAGTGCAGGCTGTAGCATGACATGGATGTGACTGAGCTTGTCATGAAATCTTTGTCATACGTGAAGACCACAATATCTCTTCTGAGCAGAGAACTGTGCTGGGAACAGTTCTTCAGCTTTCGTTCTTTTCCTTTATGGAACCTGAGCTGCCGTCAGGGTGGCATTAGTGACAGAAGGTACCTAGGATTTGGTTGTGTTTTGTATGCTGTACAAATTCAGTTCAGTAGAATGATCACTGCTCACCAAGAAAGCACATTCTCAAAGGAAGTATGCCACAGCAGTCCAAAGGTCGAAGAAGATAAATGTTTAGAGCTTGAAAATGTTTTCTGAGAATACCACTACAGGTTCCAAATTAGCATACATGTACTTTCTTCAATTAGTTGAAATTAAAATTGCTTTTACTAAACTGCTTTGCATAGATTTTTCTAATGGTTCTAGTTTTGATAATAAGCTGCTGATCTTAATATGCATGCTGGGATGTTCTTTGGAATGTCAGAGTTCTTTCTCACTTTTAATGTAATGTCAAAGTTTTATTTCTTGCCTTTTCTGTTGGTTTGACTCTCGTGTTTGTGCTTTCCACTTTACAGGCATGCAGTATGGTGACTATGTTAATAATCAAGCTAGCTCCACACCGACTCCCTTGTCATCAACTTCCGATGATGAGGAAGAGGAGGAGGATGAGGAAGCAGGTCTGCTTTAGCTTTACACTAGTTTTTGATCTTTGCCTATTCAAGTTTACTTTTGTATCTATAGCGTTAGTCTTAAAAAATGTCTTTGAAGATTTAGCATAATGAACTCTGTTGAATTGGGTTACAGAGGTTGGGTCACATGGTGGAAGAGGGCTTTTCTTCCTTTTGACGTTCCTGCCCTCCCATGTCTGCAAGGGAATGAGTTCTGACTGCAGTTCTTGGCTGAGCGCTGTAATGCCCTTTAGGAATAATGTCTGCTTTGCATGTAGACTGATCCGAATGCGCCATATGGAACTTTTAATGTGGAGGAGAAATAGGACATCCTGTTATCTTTATTCATTTGTTGTTTTTAGATTTTATTGTATACAATTGATGGTAAGATTTGCTACAATTTGTCTAACCAAAAGTTGGTATTCTGTATGTGTCTTTTGAATATTGTAATCTTTCTATATGATTTGAGGATATAAAGATAAGAGATGCCAGGGAGGAAGAAACTTTCCTTACTCAAAGCCGTGAAATACCGCTAATATATCTTTCAGAAATGTTTTATTTTAACATGATTTCAAACGTATAGGATTTAGAGATTCAAATTTATAGAAAGGTTACAAGGAGAGCTTGGTCTAGCGAGTTCCAGGCCAACTGGAGTTAACAGGGAGACCCTATCTTAAAAAATCAAAAACACACCAAAAAATAAT